TTGGATTGAATATCCCTCGATTTGGCTTCGTTTTAGTCCGGAATGGTTTTTATGTTCTTTCTTTCACATTTTAAATATGACAGGGGGGTGCTTTCTGTTCACTGACATATTTAGTCCTCCTTGAGGAGCTTTTTTAAAAGTAATTTTGGGGTTCTGCCTAATTCATCAACTGCTTTTAGAAAGGTCTTGTTTTGAAGTCAGTGATCTCAGCGTGGTCGAACTCAGAGATGAAATTTTTTTTGCTTCCTTGGGGATCACGAGCTTTGGATTTTTTCATCCTACAAATACGAGTGATGGTTGTGCCACATCAGGAGATTTAATCTGGGGGTCACTTGCAGAAGTTCTCACCTTTTTTTAAAAAAAAAAAAAAAAATCAGCTGCAAAAGCTTTGGTCTCAGGTGACTTTTTTGCAAAAATGGAGTTTTTCTTAAAAGGAGGAGCTTCGTTTTTAAATACCAGGCTTGGTGCTTTCATCCTGAGTAAGCACATGAATATGTGCTTGATGATCCACATGAAAATAGATTATTTGAGAAACAGGGGACGTCCAGCACCCCTTGAAAGCTCCAGAAGAAACGAGAAGCCTTTACAAAGTTACTTGAATCAGAGGAGCTGAAGGAGCAGCGTTTTCCAAGCCTGGCTTATCCTGCAAACCAGGACTCCATCTACTGCCAGCTGCTGGGTTTGCACCACGGCATTAAAATACTCTCTTCCAGGGTAATATTCCTTCCATTCTTCACTTCCTCGATGATTTTAAACGATTTTTAAGTGCTGTTTTGTGGTCTGGTGTTTACCTTTCCTTGTGATACGTTTGCAGTGGGTAGATTAAAGGGTGTTTTTATTTCTTTTATCAGTCCTTACAGTTACTCCTGGGTGTAGGTGCTCAGCAAACACTGTGGAATGATGGTCTTGGACCAATGACAGTGGGAATAATGGGCAGTAATCTCCATTTATGAGCTATACTGGTTGATACACCAGCAAAACCTGGAGCCCTGGAGGTGAATGTGGCCTCTAAATTTGGATCTTCACCAAGGGTGCCTCTGGTTTTGCCTCAGCTCCGCTGCAGATATTATAAAATCAGGAATGGTTGGAACCAGGCACATCTTTGGCTCGGGATTCATCTCCAGCGTGTTCCCCTGGGGAGCAGATCCCAGAATAGCACCTGATTGTGAGCAGTTTGAGTCTGAATTGCACAGACACCCCAGCAGCTGATTCAATTCCTCACTCGCTGCTGGGTGTGTTTTAGGGCGATTCGTTTGCGTTACAAGTGGATAAAAATCATATTGATAATTTTTTCAGAGGAGATGAGACTTTTTAACTCCTGAGAGGAGGGAACCAATCCCTGCAGGTGCATCACACCAAGGACTGGATGAGTCTTGGCTTGGCTGGAGCAAACCACATCGTCCAGCCTCCCTCTTTGCTAACAAATCTTGGGAGTCCCCTTCGTCCCTTACAAATCCTTTTCCCTGCCGTTTCCAGCTTCAACATGTGTCCCAACAACTGCTCTGGCCGAGGGGAGTGCAGGCTCAACAGCAGCACCAAGGCTCTGGAATGTGACTGTGCCAAACACTGGAAGGGGGAAGCCTGTGACATTCCCTACTGCTCCGGGGACTGCGGCGCTCCCGAGAGGGGCCACTGCGACAGCAACCACTCCAAGGCCTGCGTGTGCTCCCCAGGCTGGCAGGGTGAGTGTCCTGGGGGATGGAGGGAGGGTTTGGGAGGCGCTGGCAGTTTAATTGGGGGGGTGTGGGAATGCTCCCAGTGACACAATATCAGTGTTTCGACCAGGAACAGGGTGTTTGCTTTTTAATATTAAAGGATCACACTCCATTTGGGAGGATGGAGCTGCTGCAGAGAGTCCAGAGGAGGCCCCGGAGATGCTGCCAGGGCTGGAGCCCCTCTGCTCTGGAGCCAGGCTGGGAGAGCTGGGGGGGTTCCCCTGGAGAAGAGAAGGCTCCAGGGAGAGCTGAGAGCCCCTGGCAGGGCCTAAAGGGGCTCCAGGAGAGCTGGAGAGGGACTGGGGACAAGGCATGGAGGGAC